GATCACCTATTATATTGGCTCATGATGTTTCAGATAGTTTTACTTCATATGTTAACTATAAGTGATAAGCAAATATAACAGGAAAACATGAAATTAAGGGAATCGAAGGAAACCGATTAATTAGCATAGGAGCTGTTCAATTAAACAGTTTGATATGTGATAAATACTTAATTATACTTCACTGCCAATATCTGCATAGCATGTCGCGTTTCACGGTTTCCACGCTGAATAGGAATGTTCATGCTGTTACACAGAGAGATGATGTACGTTTCGAACGAACAAGCATCTGTGTACTTGTTGGAGATATTCAGCACTGAGAGAGTCACGTCGTGTCCGGTAAGGGGTGAAGATGAACTCTTCAACTGCGCAAGAGCACAGCTGAAACACGTCACTAAAATCAGAACCGTTATAAAGAAACAGGCTACCGTTAGTTGAATGTCACTTACTGAACATACACAAAGCTCGCACCACCATCGCTTCTTTGGACATGGCAGCAAATTCGGCAAGGGAGCGCATGGAAAATGACTTGCAGTCCCTATCTCCGCTTCTATTGGCTAGTTTCGTCAAGTGCATTCAGGCTAGTGGCAGGAGGCCAACACCACATAGTGGTGAAGTTACAGCGATAGGCAGTTACGGCACAGAAGTGGCGTGTAAAATGCAGCCTGATCAATAAACGGTGGTAGTCTTGAACTGACATTCGATTGAAACCGCATAGCAATTTTCTACTTAAAAGCTGACTTACTTTACATCGAATCGAGAAACGCAAATAATTAACATGCAACTGAAAAATATTAAAAACTAAAGAGAATAGACATTCTGTGTTGATGAACTCAAAAGAATCAATGTGGTACGTACTTACAGAAAAGAGAATCATGATCAGGCTCAGAATTCTGGTAAAGAACATTTGAACATCGTTTCACACATGGTTTGTAGACAATGACGCTGCAAATTCCAAAAAAAGCTTTAAAAAATTATTCTACTGCATCTTTCACTGTGACTCATTGGCAGAACGAACAAATGACACAGAGAACAGTGATTGAAAAATGAAATAAGGGAATGGACAAAAAAAATCATTTATCACCCAGGAAAGTTGTGCACAAAAGTGACCTAAATTTTTGGCCTGATACCATCATCCATTTCTGATTGTCGAACAATCTGATCTGGTCATTGGTGAAGGGTCCATGACATATGGGCAAAAGCTATTGGGAAAGGGTAGACCGCTCGCTGGTGTCAACGATCGTCACTGCGGCCGTCGCCTTGAATCTCCATAACTGGACAGTGTTCAGGTGCAACATTAACTACTTGATTTAACACATAATGCTGCATCTGGAAATGAAATGGAAAGCTCATTGTGAGTGCAGTATGATGCCGTTGTCAAGGTGGTAAAGGTCGATGATTTTCATTTTACTTCATGCTTCCATGGTGGTGACAAGGCGACGTCACTAAGTCAGTCACCAATCATCAAATTGGAGTTTATGCAAATGCATGTGTTCATCCGACTGAGTTGCCTGATTTGATCCCTCACGTCATAGATCGCTTGAAAGCTTTCGAGCATAATGTAAAACTTTCCCAATGAGTACCATTTTCAAAGTTAGCATCTACGTGTGACGGCTTCAATGAGGACATTACATCACTCTTATGGCTAGAAAAATCTTAACGTCATGTTAACACTTGATTTTTCCAGATCTCATGCGTATGATTCATATCAAAAGGAAGATTATGTTCTGTTTCACTGAATGGGATAGCCTTTTTTATGTTTAAAAACCTCAGAGGTCGCCTACGTGGAACTCAGTTAGTCACCAGAAAACAAGCCTAACACTGAACCAGCTAATTACACTGATCGGTAACGAAATTCTCCCAATGTACTGTAACGCTAGAAGTGTGAAATTCACCTGTCACGGAGAAGATAGATGACTTTATAGGAAGAAGGCACTGGGTTCACGAATCACTTACTCCGTCGTTCTTATGGATAGATAGGAAACAGTAGACTAGGTCATGATTGCTGCGAGATACTTTTAGGTA